AAAAAAAAACAAACGGAGGAAAACTGAACTCCTGCAGGATATTTATTACTGCGGCTGTCTTATTTTAGAGGCTAAGAAAACAGGATTTTGGAAAACCTTTTTAATACAAATAGGGGAATATTTGAGATTTAAGGCTGACGCTTGCAAAATTAAACTAAACAAAAAGACTGCCTGAGTGGTGAACTGAAATAGAATTGAACCGTTACGACAATTAAGCATCTAGCAGCAAGACGTGCTTATTTGTCAGTCATTCGTTGCTGCAATCAAGTAGACTGCTCGGACACAGTGTTCTTCATTAGATGCAGATCGCCTCAAGCTTGAATGACTGCAATGAATAATGTCAAATCTTTCGCTGCAAATTTAGCAATCAAATCGAGATGCGCATAGCTGGCGGAAGTACGATGAAGTACTGTCTTCGGAAGAAGCGCTGGAGAAAAAAACTGCAGCAGCAGTGAATGCCGCCGCACAGTATTTCTTCGACGAGGAATGCGTCATCGATTGGTGGAGCAAATACTACGAATCCATTGGCGAAAGCGAAAAAGCACCTGGATTTGCTAAGTACGTGTTTCGCTTAGCACTAATTTTTACAAAGCACTAAAATGATGCAAAAAAAACCTTTGAAGAAGTATGGTTACGCCGCAGTTTAGCAGAAATCGCCCGTTTGGATGCACGTAATTCCCCCACATTTTTTAGTGCTGGATGTTTCAGTTCTGGGATCGAGACATTGCGAGTGTTTGCATGCGCACTTGAAGATGTGAGCGAATACTGTGGTTTCTGCGATTTTCTCGATACATTCATGTTTCGGAAAATGACAAAAGAAAATATTGATTCACCAGAAGTGAGGATACCTCGAGGCGAACTTAAAGCGCGTATTTTCATCAGGAGAGAAGATAGAAAAGCTAACGGTACTATATTAGCTAGTTACTCGAAGCAGCAAAAAAGAAGGGCTGCACAACGTAACTAAGATTTTTCAAATGAAAGGCACTTTTGGAAAATTTTATTGAGGAATGGGGCTGGCCACTTCTGACAGTTCTTTAGAAGAGCAGAATGAAAATTATTTGTGTAATTTCCGTAAAAGTTCGTATATCGCTGTCTTTTAGAACCAGGCCAAGAAAGGTAACTATTAAATTAGAATGCGACGAAGGAGAAATAGTCTTAGTCCAGGACATTAAAGAAAACAGAAAACCTTTCACCGACTCGAAAACCACATGTTTTTTGCACAGAAAATGTGGCGTTACCGATTGTCGAATTTGCGGGTGTGACGAAATGTACAGTTCGTGTATATATCGTGAGAGCTTACGAACTGGTTAGTCGACGCAAGGATGGCACTTGCGATGCCTATGTTACTGTCAAGTAAGCCTTCTTTTTCACCCCTCATCCACAGCCTTTTGCTTCTGCTTCAGGGGAAGGGCAGGAAAGGGGTGGAGTACAGGCATGGAAGTGACTGAAAGTGTCCCAGAGGTCTGATCGTTTGTCATGCTTTCAGATGTTCAGCCCCACTGGCAACACATTCTGTAGTGTTTG